AGAAATCCTGGCCATTAGTAGTCAGTGAGGAATCTGCCATCACCTGTCCAGACAGAATGTCACTTTTGAAGTTAAATGTAGTCAGCTTGATGTATTTTATTATCATTTATAATTTTAAAACTTTTGCACTGGTAGTTCATTCATCTAAGATGAGAATTAAAGGTTTTCAGTTAAGGGAAGTAAAAATATTAGCACTATTTAAAATCACTATAGAAAAACAATTAAAAGCTATTAAAAAGCATATTAAAGAAAATAGTTTAAATTAAAATTAAGGTCTGGTACATGTTTTGCATGTTAAAGTTGCCTTATTAGGAGTCAAAAAAAAGATTCTGTCCTTCCTGCTTATCTACATCTATTCATTTTTGTATCACAAATCCCTTTTTGAAACATTTTTCCCTTTAGTGGCCCAACTACTTTAGAGTCTTTAGTAGTCATTATTTTCTAAAAACACTGCAGCAATTTTAATCCTCCAGACATGTAAGACTTCACATAACAAAGTAGAAATATCCTACAGAGCACAAACAAGTCACTTTTATATAAAAGCAGCCCTGACTCGATTAAATCTCTGGCACAAGAAGCTGAGTATATAACTATTCAAGTAAACATCCATTTAGGTTATATATTAAGCCTTTTTATCACTTGCTGTATTATAAGAAACAATAAACTATTATAGCATGATTGCTACAGTCCTGTTCTCTGGGAAGTAGTTTAAGGCCTCTTTCCTCCCCACTGCAATTTTAAACCGAATGATACACTCATTTTCTCAATGGCAGGCTTCTTGTATAAAACTCAATAGCAATTTTAAAATCATTCTTATGCATACGATTCAAAGTAAATTTACAACAAGAGCACGTGCATAGAATATTTAAAAGTATTTATCTTGATAACTACCAGGAACTTCTTTTTGATTTTTTTCTTATAAATTATATATAATGAAGAGACTTCATAATCTCTACAATTTTTTAAACTAGAATTCTCCATTTTATACAGTCCTAAAGTTTCAGGGATGGAATTCTGGAGGAAAAATATTTTTTACTTTCACACATCACCATCTAGACACTCACATTGACTGGTAGTGTCATCTTAACATTAGAAAGTTTGTATTTTTGTCTATCATACAGACCTACTGATCTTTCTGGAAGCAATCAGTCTCTGAAGAAATGCACAGGATTGTTTGAAATTCCAGACTCAGGAAAACCCACATTTGATGAGTTGCTCCAGTAGTAATGAAGTTAAGGATGACAATGTGCATAAGCATTCACAGCACCAAACTCTATAAGATCAAAAGTGAAAAAAGCTTGACTTTGCTGGATATAATGCACACTTGTGCTGTCTTGAGGGGGAAAAAAGGATGCAAAAAAGAGTGCACAACAAGTGGCATCTTTTGTCAGTGCTTAAGATTGCCACAATCCACACTGAGACCTGGGGCAATTTTTGTAGAGCAGCCCTGTTAATTGTTGCTAAGATCTTCTGAACTAACTGGTGCCTTCACTCACTAGAGTTATTTCAGTTTAAAGTTATAAATGACCCCTAAGTTTCTGCCTCTGCACTGTCATGGCCTTCCAAGAAGAATGATTCCCAGGGCTGAAAGAATACACTGGATGGAAGATGGAAGCACTGTCACAGGAAATACTAGGATGGCTCAACACTTCCTCTGTGAAGTTAACTAATAATAGGTACAAACACCTGCTTTCCAAAGAGCCCAACAGGCATGAAATGAGCTCCTGCCATACAACTTGCATTCCCACACCTTGCCCATCATTTGCTCTAAACCAAAAGCCAAACCTCCTAACATTTTTTTCTTACCAGGTGGACAAAATTAACTGTTTCTTTCACAGACCATTTTCCTTAAGGGGCATATAATGCATTCCATTACAACACTATCAGCTTGTCTGTGTGACAATGAACTTCTGGGTCTGAGGGGCAAACTCTGAAGGAACAAAACTTGTTCTTCCTGAAGAAGGAACTAAATGGCCCTGAGAGTCTCTAACCTTCTGCTGTAATGGCTGTTTCCAGGCCACTGATCATGCTATCAGCCAGTGAGGTTGGTGTAGGACTGAATTCTGGCACAAATCAGGGATTGTAAGCAGCTGCAGGAAGAGACCACGTTCTGATGGTGTCTGTTCACCTGGATCAGTTTCCAGTGCTGCAGACATTTGATCAAGGCAAGGAGGTATCTTGGTTCAGTTTTCCTCTGGAGTCAACAGAGAGAAATAGGAAGTTTCCCAAGGCAAATCAAAATTTCTCAACTCCTAAGCTTCTTCATCCCTTCTAAAAGGATGTGATATTCAGGAGTATCAAGGCATTAATGGGTAAAATAACTTCCACAAATGATATTGGATGTGGTGCACATTTGAATGTGCTAAGAAGCATCCATCTCAAAATGCTTCTGATTTGCACTTCCTTTTTGACACACTGTAAATCAAAATGTTTTCAGGGAGTGCTCCTTAGATGGCATAATTATGTGGCTAATTATTAATGCTTAATTGTAGTATTTTGCCCACATCACTCTTGAGTAATTTCTTCTTTGTAACAGACTATCTTTGTTTTTTGCAAGATGACAAAAGACAGACTGCAAGTCAATGATGAGACAGCATTGCTTATTTTGCTCTCACTGTGGCTTATTCCATAATGTGAAGTGGAGCAGGTGATGCACCTATTTTAAGCAGAAGAGAATTCTGTGCTGGCTCCCACTGCTGCAGTACAGATTCCCCATAAGGAAACAGCTCAGAGGAACAGAAGAGACACTGGAGAATTAATCACACTGCTCCTTCCTGTTGAGAACACCAAGCTATTAGCTGACTTCAGGTAGAAAGCCCTGGGATTTGCTGCAGAAAAGGCTGGGGGTGAAAAGAATAGCTCAGGGATAGAGAGCCTCAAGTTAAAGGAAGAAAATTATACTCTTTGAAAGCCTTGGCAGGGGCGAGGGAAAAGCCCCTGCAGCAAAGACTGAGACAGCTACTGGTATCTCAGGCAACATTTTATTAAGCTCAAATCTCAGGAAACTGAACTCTGCAAGAAATAATTTTGAGGTTCATTTCAATACTGAGAGAACCTGAAGGAAAATTTAGCAGGGAATCTCCATGGGAACGTTCTTTCCAATGCTGTATGTTTTTCCCAGAGCAGTCTGACCCTCCACACACCCCTGCCACAGAGATCTCTCTCAGCAAGCCTCTTTCCTGGTAAGCAGAAAGGTGCTGACTCAGATCAGACAGGAGGAAGAGGCATTGGGCATGGTGAGTAATAGGGTAGAAGAATGGCAGATTTGAGCCATGTGTGAAGGAAGGCAATGAGTGTCTTTCCATGAGAAGATTTTGAGCCACAATTTCACACCCTGTGACTGTAGACAGGCTGGAGTGCTTGCATCACATGACAGATCAGGGAGACCAGCTGGGCCACCACAGAGGATCAGAGACCAGCAGAGAGGACCACTAAAAGGCTTGCTGGGTGGGAGGGAAACATGAGAAGAGAGAAAACTGTGGGAGCAAAAGACTGAGAAGAGTTGACAGGTCTGGCTGCTGGGAACCAGGGGACAGCATCTTTATAGGCTTTTCAGAGCTATTGCAATGATGGTGTTAGAGGCAATAGCTTCCCAGTTGCTCAAAGAAGCTGAACTCAGCCAGATTTCCCAGCTCTTGGTGATTCCCGAATGCATGCCTGAATGCTGGTCTTCTTCAGGGCTCTTCCAACAGCTGAAACACTCCAGAGGGTTAGGTCACTCTGAGTACTAGAGATCATGAGCCTATCACACCAGATTTCTATCTGTCCCAGATGAGATGTTGTGTTGAAAACCTTTCTAAATCCCAACCTCTCTAACTGCCTCCTGCTCCCTATAACTGCATTTATTCAGGTTTGTAAATTAGCAGGTGTACCTAGAAAGAAGTCAAAAGTCAAAAAAGACTTTCTATGTATTCTTGAAACTAGGTTTTGGGAGTTGCTTTATCACTCTGCCCTTATCACCTGACAGTGCCTCCTCCTTAATTCTGTTCATTATTCCTTCCAAGAGGGCTCTTGCCCATGATAACTCTTTAAGAAAGCAAATTCACCTTTCACATGAGGAAGTAAACATATGGTTGTATCCCTAGAAAAAGCACAGAGAGATGAGTAGCAGGGTATTTTAGGAAACCCAAAAGGTGATGAACATTTCATGACTTAAATTAGATATAAATGTTACTTGTACGTATCCCAGCAGGAAAAGCCAGGGCAGTCGCAAAGGGACTGACCCCTTCCTCGCTCTCATTCTGACACCATGACAAAAACATCAGAATCATATGGATCCACTGAGAACACAAGGACATGACCTGCAGTCCTGCAGCTCCAAACAGCCATGACTCAACTTCCTGTACTTGAAGGAGAGTCAGAACAAAAGTATCTTGGAGTCATGTTTCTGAAGTTAGAGAGAAATGATTATATGTCCAGTGTGAGTCTCTGAGGTGAATGCAGTATACATGGCGCCAGGTCTGATGTGATCATGTGTATTCTCAAGAATTTGAGAGCCCCAAGTGTCAGTGAAGAGGCAGCAAATGCTCTGAGCTCATGATGCTGGGAAGCTCTGAACATACACTGATGTGGGCACTCACTTTGTCCTCTTGCAATACAAAGCCACTCTTCTTGGATAGCATGTGTATTAATGGCACACAAAGCAAAAAGAGAATTTCTGACCTGACATCACATTAAAGGAAATGTTTAGCAAATCTGATGCAAAAACTACTTGGGAAATTTGCCATAGAACATATTCAGCCCAACCTCTCTTTACTCTCCCCTCTAACCCTCTAAGCAAACGTCTCTTTGCTTTTGTCCCACCTTTTTAGTTTGCTTTATATTTGTAATTTAAAATAGGAAACAATTGCTTGATAAAGGATTTCTTGGTGCATTATGAAGAATACTATTACAAATTCTAGTCAGGAAAATGCTCCTTTCAGTAACTGTCTTATTGAAAAGAGGGCAATGGGAAAGAAAATATTTACCCCACACATTCTTGCCTCTTACCCAGAAGAGAAAAGTGTCATGGCTAGAAACTTCCTGCAGTCCAGGAAGAAAATTGTCTTACGTACTGCATGGAAAAACAAAACTGAGCTTTGTAATCTCATCGTCTGAGCCAGGTCAACTCTTCAGGCTAAATGGGGTGATCTTGGTCACAGGCAATGAGCAACATCCTTTGATGAAAAAAAAAAAAGAAAAAGAAAGAGAGAAGAAAAAAAAAAATAGAGACGAGTAAGCAGTCTGGAGAAACATTTGATCCATCATCCAATTAATTCAATTGATCTACTATACACCGTAAATGAACACTAGATCATTCATGGGCTGACCCAGAATCTCTCAATCTGCCCTCCTATTAACTTCAGCTGGCTTTCAGGCCTGCAGATGTTGTGCATTGAGATGCACTATGCAGCTAAGTAAGCACATATTTAACTTTCTCCATGAGAATTGTTCCACTGAACTCCCAGGATTACTCCACTGCTTACACACTTGCTTATGTGCTTTGCTTCAGTCATTGACCAGAATTGCAATAGTATTGCTCCAAACATTAATTTGGCTCAATTTTTAATTAAATACTGCAGATTTTTGAAGATGTTTGAACAAAATTTAGCACCAGTTTCACTGCAACAGTAGACATAGAATAGCAAGCAGTAATTATGTCTTTTAAATTTTTTTTTTGAAGAAGGCTAGGAAAAGGTCTCTACCCAAAGCATTACAACCCATCACTGTAATCATGTCTGACATAATGGGAATTTCAAAGCAGGACTTAAAAGTGGCAAACACAGATCTAGTGCTTGCCAGCTCCCTCCTGCAAATCTTACCTGCAAGTGTTTCATTTAATGTAGGGGAAAACTTTCAGTGGAATTGTCTTTTCCTTCTATTTTTCCTCTTCTTTTTAATAATTCCCAAGGAAATACTTCTTTAGGATGACTGTTATTTTTTCATGAATAGGATTGTAAATATGTAATGGAACATAAATATTTTGTATTTAGAGTAATAAAAAATTTAGTTCTATAAAAGATTTATCCACACTAAAAATAATTTGGCCTCAAATAGGAATCAGTGACAGTAACATATGAGGCAAATGTTCCTTCTGTAAGAAAAACAGGGAAGCTAAGCAAATACTCCCAAACATGCTTGGCAGGGATTTGCGCAAATGTAAAAAGGAGTTTGCAATAGATGCACCTACACCTTAGACAACAGGGAAGAGTCCTTGAAGTCCTAAGACCCTCCTTTAAGGGCAGGTGCTCTCTGATAATAAGATAGTGTCCTACAAAAGTATCCATTAGGGAGAATTACACCTCCCACACAGAGATAATTGTTTTATGGAAACAGAGCTACAGAAAAAATACATTTACCCTCAGTCTGGCCCTGTCTTCCTTTTACACTAGTTAAAGCCCACATCTTCCAGAGGAACTGTAAAGACCTTTCTACCCTAAAACATTCTCTAGTTTTATTATTCCTACACACCAAGAATTTTTTTAGTAACTAAAATAATTCCATGTATGCAGATCATCAGCCCATCCCAGACAGAGTTCATCCCAAGGCAATATTTCCTGTTGTCAACTGCTTTCACTTCTGCTGTACTCCTGCCATCTCATGTAACTACCTATGGGCAATCACAATTAACTAACACAGCTCAGATTTTCAGTTCAAGTACTTGAAGCAAATTCTGTGTGATACCTCCTAAGCATAAAAATAAATTTTCAGGAGAACACCAGGCAAACTAAAGTCATAAATAAATGTCTGGAAATTACAACCAACCTGCAGACTTTCCATGAACAGAGAAACAGACTAGTTTTGGCAGGTCCATCTGTCACGGTGAATTATTCATCCCTCTCTTAACCTCTCTATTTTAATTATTTTTGATTTCATTGTAGGGCAGAGGTGTGAAACCACAATAATGAAATGAAAGTCACCTGAGGAATTTCTCTATATGAGTCAAACTGAAGGAAAATGCCTTAAGAAGTACTGACCTGGATGTTTTCAGTATTTTTTCTTTACTAGACTGAAGAAGGGTGCTTCACCCACCCATGCATGGCTGGTCTATGTGCACTGGCAGCAATTACACTGCAAAAAGCCTGGACAGGCAAGACAGGAACTAGGAAAGGTATCAGGGCTCCAGCCGCTGCTAGAACACAGCACATTCCTGCAGTCCTCCGCTAACCATGAACAGCTGATGTACACTACAGAGCTGCTTCCTATCCTTAAGGAGTGATGAGCTCCAGGGGAGATCTGTAGCTACAGCACCTCACTCTCTGGAAGCAGCTGGGATTAACTTCAAGCACCCTGTGTTGGCTTCAGGACTTCCTCTGAGGGCTCACTGGCTAATTTACAGATCAAGTATATTCTGCTGCAAACAAACTGGCAGACCCTGAGTGGATTGCTTGGGTCAAGCTCCTCAAAAGCACACGGGCTGGGAGTGCTTGAAAGGCATCCAGCACCCACGGGTAAAATGAGGTACTGGATACATAATTCAAGTACGTATTGCCCCCCACAGCAGACCATAAGAATCAGAACAATGCTGTTCCCTTAAAGCTCTGCAACACTCCTGTGCCCACAAGAATTTGTTTGACAAGGGCTGAAGTTCCTTATCTCAAAAGCAACGCATTGAAATGGCAAGTCCTGTTTAAAAGACAATGCTCCAAACACAGCCTGTCTTCAGGTTTTGCCCACCACTGCTATGATATCTTTGAAGGAAACGCATCATATTTGGAAAGAGCAGGACAGACTTTCGGCTTTGCACTTTTTCAAAAAACCAAAATTTTTTCATTATAGTATATTTTTTTATGAAAATTGAGGAAACATCAGAGTGGAACTTACGGAAACTGCTAGACCTTAATCAAATCCTTACATAAACTAATTCCTGTACTCCCACATTGGATTTTCACATGTTCAGGCTGCAAGACAGTGTGACATGAGAGGTTTCTGATAAGGATGAAAAATACTTCCCACAGATTTCTTCTTCATTATATTTACAAATGGAAATGTTAGTTTCCTCTGGAAGATCATAAGAATATTTATAATAGGTGCCTTTTTAGCACTAGAGCTGTTATACTTCAGAAAATAAAATGTAGTTTTCCATTGAAGATTCCATCCATCCTGCCCAAAGTCCCAAAAAGTACAATACAAAGAAATGAAAATGTCTATAGCACTGTAACTAACTTTAAAAATCTGAATAAATTATAGATTCTTAAAGCTACTGACTTTTTTGTAAAAAATATTGCTGAAATTAGGGTTTAAATGCTGCATTTTAATGAGACATCTAAAAAAATGAAGATAAAATAATTATTTCATGGTGATATCCTACATATTTGAAGCCTAAAGCAGAATACTAATATTCCAGTCTCAAGCTACATCAGTTCTGAATAACAACCCCTTAATATTCACAGGTTTTACTTGGACATATCTACTTACATAAACCCAAGAATTTTTTGATATCTACAACTCATCAGTGCCATATGCAAACTTATCAGACTGAGGACAACATCTGTCTAGCACATGCTTTTGGATCTGTAAAGAATCAACTTGCAATCACAAGCTGCAAAACTATTCTAGCTATGCTTTTGCATTCTGAGTCAAGGCTGTGACAGAAAGTTTAAGAAATGCTGTCTGGTTTTACTGGTTTTGTGAGCAGCTCGTGGCTCTCTGAGGGTCTGATGTTCTCACCATGATGTCATTTTACTGAGTTGCTATTCACAGAGACAATCCCTGTATCTCAGGTGCTCTGGCCTACAACTTTACAGCAGAATTAACAGATTTCATTTAAAGCATAGTGTTCTTGATGGTGGGCAGCCAAGAAAGCAATGAACTTCACTATCATCCCTTGCATAAGCACTAGGTAAATACATGAAATATGAATATGTCTCTAAAAGCAGCATGTAGAGAGGAAGGCATCTGATTGCTCAGTGAGTATTTAAGCACTGGCTGTACCTTGCTAGAACTTCATTTGCCCATAATTATGCTTGTCCTGCTAATGGAATGTCATACTTTTTTCAGTGACTGTCAGCTCCAACATTTTCTATTTCCTTCAAGTCCACATGTCCCTGAAGAGGTACAAGACTAAGAAAGGGGAAAGGAAGTGGACAAAAGGTAGATTCGGCATTTTAAAATGTGTTTTCTCTTAGTTCAAACTGAGTAAATTTCCAATTGGGGCCTGAAAAAATGAGAGGAAGAAGGAGATCCCTCTCCAACTGAGTTTAGAATAAATGAGGGTTAAAAGCAGAGGGTTAAAAGCAACTTAAACTGGCCTTAATCAGGTGTTAGCACCACACAGGCTCAGACTGTTGCTGAAGAAAACATACCAGTCTGGTTTCCATAAAACAGGCAAATTGCGTATGCAAATGCAAGTTGTATGCAAATACATACAAAATTCTCTTTGGGTACAGGAAGAACCTGGAAAAGGACGTTCAGGAAACAGCCCCCTTGAAAATGGGCACAATTCATTTTTTTTCCAGATTATATAAGTTGTCTTCTTTCCTAGAAGAGTACTGCACTTTTCCACAATTGGAATGACATCTGTGAAAGTCCATGTTGAGGTGTGGCTTCAGTTGTTCCTCAAAGAAAGGAGGAGGCTGTAGCCTAGATCTAGCATTCACTGATTGGTCGTGGATGGAATGCAGTTATTCCAAGGAGATATGTGGCAGATACAGTTATCTGTCTGTGCTTTGTTAGGAGGAACAGTTTCCTTTTGAGACACAGACAAAGCTTTCCAGCTTTTTGTTACCTATTAAGGTTCAAGGTTATATTGCCACTGAAAGCGGACACTAGATTACTCACACAGTTTTATCAGTGTATTTCTGCAGTGCATTACAATGCCCTTTCTGTGCTACTAGCAGTCCTTTTGTGAAATAGGACTGTTCTGCAACTTGGACAAACAACTACAGCCAGATTTGTTTCATTCACAATTTAATGTGACCATATCAAGCCAGTGCAAAGGATTTCTATTTTGATTCTTTTTTTTTCTTTTAGTTTGAATTGCTTCATCCTACATGGAAAATCCAGAGAAAGAAACAGAAATAGTCAGAGATCACCTATAAATATCTTTCCAATGTATTCCAACCACAAAAAAAATCCAAAGGAAATTGTTACCTTGGCCAAGAAGAAAATAACTATGCAAATGCCCTGAAGCACCCCTAAATTTCAGTGAGCACGTCAAGGGATCATGTGCCCATGTCTATTACCTCAGTTATACAATCTCCTTTTCACAAATACTTTTTATAACTCTGCATATGGTCCTCTAGGTCAAAACTACCCTTGGAAGAGAGCAGAGCAGATCCCAAGGGAGCTGAGGCTGTTTGGTTATGAGCATCAAGTAACCTGGTCAGATGGTGTCACCTGACTGCTCCTGACCTCCCATGGCAAATGCAATCACAAGTCTCTTCTGCCAAGAACAGAAGTTCCAGAAAGTTGTTATTCCTCATTTGCAAAAGAACTTCTAACCTTCAGTATTTTTATCACATGGTTTATTAGTATTCCAGTGTAGGTTTTATTTTACTTTTGGGATTGCACCACCCCATTTCTGATTACTTTGTTTTTCCTAACGTGTTAGCTGCTAAGCTATGTGTTTAAGTCCTGAGGAAAATATTAGCTCCTATCCCCTGTGATAAGAAAAGGCAAAATAAGCCCCCTGTAAAAACATTGTCATCTCCAGGGCACTGCCTAGCATTGCATCATATCACTGAAAATTGAATGTGCAATATTGGAAAGCTCCATGTGGTCTTTGCACGTGACAGTAGCCTCTTAATTTATGTAAACTAATGATAATAGTTGCCTTTGAAAAACTTTCCAGTTGTAACTTATATTTACCTCAGTATCTATAATTACCATACTTACAGTATACTGTTAAATTCAGCCAACTGAGCAGACTGTTAAAGTTTATAGAGGCTGATAGCGACAGAGATATTTTACAAGGGATGTACAATTTCAAAAATGAGACTTGTCTCCCAGCTGGTGACCATCTGGCATCCATGACTGTATGTTTGAGTATTAAGCTAAGTCATTATTGTGTCAGTCTCTCACACACAGACCACCCAGCACCTTACTGGCCCTTCTGCTCATGCCATAACAGCACCTTTGTTTCTCCCTCAGGAGTGTCATTTGTGCACTGCAGATTACCTAAGAGCTGTTTCCTGCCCATGTGTTCTTTGGCCTTCTGCAAAAACACAATCCCTCCAGGGAGAAGAGTGAGGTTTAATATTGCTGAAAAAAAAAAAAAAAACACTTTAGGAAATATATTCAGAGCTATAATTAATTACATCAATATATGTTTCCAGTCCCTTTTGGAATCTAATTATATTCTTACCCTTGACTCTCTGTAGTTGTGACTTCCACAAGCTAATTACAGGTTGGCTGAAAAAGCATTTCCTCCTATCTCTATCTCTGCTGTTGCTTTGCACATTTTTTTCACATCAATCTCCTGCTATGAGTGGTCTGTTTCAAAGTCTCTTGAGCACTTTCAATTTGTTTTGAATAGCTCCTCAGAATGCTTTCTTCAGAAGACAATAATTTTATTTCACATAAATTACAGATTAAGACATTTCTGATTTATAGAAGAGTACCTTAGTGATCTCCATTTGGATTGTACAAAAGAATGAGCTAACTGTGTTTCTGATCTTGACTTCAGTTTGAGATAAAATGTCATGGCTGAACTGTCTGTGAAGTGGTCCAGTTTATTCTCTTGAGTCATATTGATCCAGTATCACTCCTAGATGACATGTTTTTGTGCTATAGCAATTTCAGTTGTTAGTAATCAGAACAAAGTTCTGCATAAATGTTAGAGATCCACATTTAAATTCAGACAGAGGCAGGCCTTGGCCACAGGTAGGACACTTGCTGGCCTCTAAAATGAAAGAATCTTCTCAGACTGATTTAGTAGCTACTAAATTCAAGGCCAAAATACCTAACCTCTGTCATGTGCATGTTTCTCTAGCTACAGCTATATCTCTCCAAGAGCAAACTCTCTCCACTCTGGTGTAAATTCCTTTATTACTCAAGCTGAGAGATAAAACATTTACTCAAAAATGTATTCCCCTACCCAGGTACAGTAAAGATACAATTGCTCTCCATACCCACACATGCTTTTTCCATACAGACTTAGAAGACTTGGCATCATCCACATCTTTACATATTTGATTTATTTTGATAACTTATTCATTTCTCCCTAGTTCCTCATCACCAAATAATATGGGAGAGTTCAGCTAATAGAAAACAATCAAAAACTAAAAGCAGGGAAAGAGGGGCTTTGTTCTTACCTAAAAAATAAAGAAAAAGGTTCAATTAGGAGTGTATTTTAAATGCATTTACAACTTTAGAGCTATATACTAGAAACAGATATGTATATAAACTATGTTCATTTTGTACCTTATTTAGGTCTTCTCATTTACCATGCATGAAACTGATGACATTCAAATTTTTAACATCTAAGGTAGAATTGCTACAGATTTAAACACCATACTGAAGAAAATTTTACTTTTGGCTGAGACCTCCATCAGCCCACCAGTGCAGACCAACACACCAGGAAATTTCCTTGAAAGCACATGGAAGTCAGTAAGGAGCTGCCAAGGTTCTGACAGAATGTCCCCAGTTTGTGTTGGACCTGTTCTGTAGGATTTTTACAAGAATCCCTCATGATCACCATCCAAATCTCAAATGGAAAAGAAGAAAACAATGGCATCTGTCTCACATGAGGTGTGGAAATTAGTTATAACAAATAAACCACTACTCAGTGGGAGGAATAATAAAAAGGGTTTGAACCTCGCCACGAAGGCCTTGGGCAAGCACTGTGCAAATAGCAAAATTTGCAAACAATAAACGCATCTTTATGGTCCCAGAGCCAGTTAGATATCTAATGGCATGTTGGGACCTTATTTATCCAGCAGCATGTGTGGGCATCGTCTTCCTCTTTTTGGAGGAAGATCAATCAGACTCAGCCACATTTCTTTTCCCCTGTCCCAAGTGAACAATCACACCAAGTTGTCTAGAGCAGAAAATCAGGCTAAAGAGCCTTGGGTCCCAGGAATACTAACTCTCACACAGTAAAGGCGAAACCACAAGCAGATATCACTTTAGAGATTTCCTCTCTCCTGTTTTCTGTCATAAAACTACAGTTTCCCTGTCTCTCCTAGTTCCTCCACAATCCCATCAAGACAGCTTCATTTGGGGAAACAACAGCAGAACTACCAGCTGCAGAAGCCCAAGATCTGCCTAAATTTTATGATGGTCTCCTCCATCCCAAACTAATTGTACATCCACACTCCTCAGCCTACCAAAAAAACCCAGGCTTCCCCTCCCACCCCCCAGCCATGCTAAAGAACATGCAAGAGCTCACTCTTTTAGAGATGAGAGAGCCTGGGGCCAGTCAGTTCCACATACTTATAAGGGTCAGCTGTTGTTTACTGCAAGAAGTATTAGAAATGGGATTGCAAAAGACAAACAGGCTCGTAACACAGGCCCTGAAGTACAGGGATCTGAGGGAGGCTTTCATAATAAATGGTAGCATTTCATCAGGGCCCTTCCCTAATTTTCATGGATCAGAAAAAAATCCCTTTGAAAGAGATGGGATAACAGCTGCTCTTGGTCCTGGATAAATAATCTAATTGCTCCAAAGGTAGAAGGGGCATGTCTCTCACTTTGTTCAGTGAGAGACATGACAAACCCTTGGTCCCAGGGAAGGGAAGAGATTCACCAGGACCTGACCACTTTAGACAGTACATTCTGTGACAACACAGTCAATGTTTTATTTGCTCTGGTCCCCATTTCTAAGTAACATGTATGTTCTTAATTTCTGCACACTTACAGGGTGTCAGTTTGCGATCTTATTTCTCTTTACTGTGTGCATTTTTATTTTTATTTTTCCCCACAGGGGCTTCATATCTCTCCATCCTCTAACTTTCTTACTCCTCTGAAGCAGATAATGGGTCATTTTTTAACATCTTCAGCTCCTCTTTTTCTCAAAGTCCACTGCTGCGTGAAGTGACATCAAAAATAGAGAAAAATGCTGGTGTATCTGTGTAAGAAACCAAGAAGGAGTGCTCCAAACTGCTCATTCTCTTATACACTTCCATAATCCTCCAAAAGGTCAGAGACTGTGTCAGTACACTGAAGAATTTCTGATGACTCCATGGTACTCGCTGCACGAGGTGGGGAAGGCAAGCACAATGACGGGATTTTCTCACAATATTTTTTAAATCCAAGGAAGGATGTAGCCTTTTCCTGTTGGGGTGATTTCCAGCAGCAGGACTCAAAATCTCATTTCTTGTGTGTATAATCTCTTGAGTCAGTTATATCTTACCAAAGCAGATAGAAAATTGGTTTTGTTTCTTTTCTGGCTGCATTTAAGCTCTCAAGTTTCACTTTGTTAGCATATTCAGTGGGCATTTCCCACAGCTTCCAGGCATTTCAAAACAGGTTAATACACTTTGGGACTGACCTGAAAACAGGGCCTGAGTAGTCCTTTAAGTCTCTCTTAATGGATCAAATTTAGTAGGTCAGGTTACTCACTATGCACAAATGCTTGGGTTTAGTATATTTATTAAGATGCTCTTTTTTTACACCATGATTTTGCCACAAATGCATGGATATTAGATAGCAAACAGCACAAATGGGATTTTGCCAGAAATGCATGGATATTAGATGGCAAACAGCACAAATGGGGAAGAGTATTGCAGAAGCAAATAAGGTTGCATAAAATTACACCCTGTCAATTCTTCCCACTGGAAATGGAGAATTAGTAGTCTCAGCATATTCAACAAGAAAGGTGGTGGCCTGCAGGACTTAGCAAATCAGACTAATGCAGCTCAAAGATGAATTTGGTTTTAGCATTGTAATAAAAAATTAATCCTCCTTTTATAGGCAATTTTGTGTTGGTTATCTAATATAAGCAAAGTAACAGCTCTTATCTCAGGTGCTATAATTACAGAGCTGAGCTAATCCACAGCCACTGAGATCTTTTCCAGCCTTCTATTCCAGGACCAAGAGTCATAACAGCTTGAATATAGCTACAAATAGCTATAGGCTTTGTCCTGTTTTCATGCCTTTATGATTTCATCTTAAAGTCAACGCTGTTATAACATTGTTTACTGAATGTTTAATTTGCTGAACACACAGAATTCCAGCTGAAGCTAATGTGAATTGCAGGTGCTCAAACTGCTGAAAAGTAAACTGCCCCTTTTGTATTTAAATGTATGTTAATAGAGATCCATCAGGTTGCTGTGCTTCCACAGTGATTAAAATATCAAAGAAATCAATAAATACCTTCATAAATAAAAAATTATTTGGGAAAAACCCACCTCACATTACATTTTACTTCTTGTCCTTCATCCCAGCTCTTCCCAAAGGACTAGGACACAACTTCCTGAAGTCAGTTAAAATCTTCTTTTTGCATTTAGCAGACTTTGAGCCAGGCTCTGTGTTCCTGAGAAGAGACATGAGCCTATATGACCTGCACAACGCCAGTGTGGGCTCCAGGCTGCAGCGCAGGGGGAGAACCGAGGGTGGGATGCGGCACACCAAGTGTGGCTTTCTCAGAACACTGCTCCAGCAGCTAACACAGAGATCTTGGCACACACTGAAGGCTGTGGTACACAGCAAACCGCGACAGGGCTGCAAAAACACGTTTGTAGGCAGGGTCTTGCTCACCCTGCCAGCTCTGCAAGGCAGAGTTCTTGGGCTAAGCACGAGGCTATGTTAACAGGATGTCAGGGGAGATTATGTATCATTTCTACCATTCATTTCCTTTCCTGGACTTCAGCCTAACTCTTCAGTTCTTTTCAGGACATTTCACAAAGCATTACATAAAGTGAAAACCTCAGGCTTGCATCTAAAATCCAAAATTAAGCTGTTATTCATATCTCCTGGTCACCTTCAGATGAAGAACAAACAATGCCACTGGCCAATACATTTGCCAGCTTTTGGCGGTCATCTGGTCTTGGCTGTGTGACTGAGAAGCTGCTCAGGCATTAGGACCACAAGCAAGGGAGGACTTAGAAAAAAAAACTCCCCTACCCATCACTGTTTAGTGTAGCAGTGCTATGGAGTAAATTTGTAGTTTACACAGTAAATTTACAGCCTTGTCTGTGGCAATACATCCTCCAGCCCTCCCCTTTGGCTCACTCCCCTCACCATACATCATGGAAAGAGCTACAGGACACAAGGGTAAAGTGGTGGATGCTTTGAGGCAGGTTGTTTATTTTAAGGTTTAA